TTACGAACAACATAAGGGCCATACCGAGTTTGAACCGATGACCTCATGATCTGCAATCAAATGCTCTACCACTGAGCTAAAGACCCTTAGATGTTAAATTGGACATTATTCCAACTATGACTTCTACAAAAAATTTATGTAATTGCATTTATGTTGATAATCAGAACTTCAATAAGCAAATGCTTTAATCTGTTGGAAAAATTGCATTTTAAGTGGCTATTTTGTTGTACAATTATCAGTGGGGTCCACTTCCGATTTGGGTCTTGTCAAATTGGATTCGGGTTCTTCGTAGTGAGACGAAGAGATTGATATATTGTACACTCAAAACGGATAATGGGTGAATGATATATTGATTCTCAAACTAGACCCATTGATCGAGTTGGAAAAATGAAGGGAAAAAGATGAGATTTTGTCCCGCATTGATTTAGGAAGTAGATTTGCAACACTATTTATACAAGGGTCTTTTATTGGCTTATTGAATTGTATGGCATAGATGTTCTCTCTCCTGTGAGTATAGATATATATATTATATTATTTTCGTAAATTGACTTAGTTCATTAGTTTTCCAACATGCTTGTCTGATAGAAGAGGGGCATAAATTAAATTTAACCGCAGCTTTTAGTTTCCTCTTGTAGCAAGAAAGGTTGTTTGCAGATTAGGAACATGAGATTTTTAGTTTACAAAGCAAGCAAAATTCCATTCCTTTTTTTTATTTGAAAGGTTTAGTTAATGATAATATTGGATTTCTTTACCCAACAAAGTTGTGAAATAGATTACACAAGTATGTCGGTTGGGATAGTATCATCCAATTTCTTGATGCGCTGCTGCCTCTTGGATGGCTTAAATTCGTGCCAATGTCACTACCCTTAGTTGAAAAGGAAATGAAGACAGATACAAGTAAAAGGAGAAGTAGAAATAGGATGGCGGAAAAAGTTGTATCTATCCTGATAGACAAGAAAGACAATCCGATTTTCAGAGATGAGAATCTGAGCCCTGGAACAAGTACAACACCGCTAATGCTAATGGCAGAGATATTATAAGAGAACAAGTGCAACACCTCACTGCTCAATCTGACGATTTTCACTCAGCTTTCTGCAAAAATGCTGTGTGCTTCAGTAGCGATATATACAAGAAAATGGGCAAAAGTTAGCATAAGAGATGATATTTAGAAAGGTATTTTTCAAATAATGATGGATGAACTACTATGGCCTGAGATGCTGATTTAGAAGAGGTCTATTTTCAGAAAAGTTGGTTTATGGGGAATGCTAAACCAGACATTTGGATTTGGACAATAGCTAAGAAGTTCAATAAGATATTTGCAAAAAAATCTTGCTCTGCCAAATGCTGACTACCCACCTAGAACTTACATATTCCAGCCACAAACAGGTTAACAACCTCCAGATTTTGTCTAAGATTAGTATAATTTGCTTTTATTAACCACTCCACATTTTGTCTAAGATTAAAATAGTTTGCATTTATCAACATCCCATTCCTTAAGAAAAAAAAAATCTTCATTTTTTTCACATTGTGTGTGAGTATTTTAATGTAGTAATGTTGATTTGATGCTTTACTTCTGAATTTTAAAACAAATAAGTACTTGAATTTTTTATGAATTCTTGGCATACAAAGATGTAGTGAAAGAAATGTTTAAATTACGTCTCCGCTGGGGATCGAACCCAGAATCTCTGGTTTCGTAGACCAGCGCCTTATCCATTGGGCCACGAAGTCCAATGCTTTTGCAATTAAATTTAAACATTAATATCTTTAAACGTTTGTAGAACTTATTCATTGGGCCAAGGAGTGCTGTGTTTTTATGATTTAAAATTATACTATAAGAAAATAAAATTAATATTACGAACAACATAAGGGCCATACCGAGTTTGAACCGGTGACCTCATGATCTGCAATCAAATGCTCTACCACTGAGCTAAAGACCCTTAGATGTTAAATTGGACATTATTCCAACTATGACTTCTACAAAAAATTTATGTAATTGCATTTATGTTGATAATCAGAACTTCAATAAGCAAATGCTTTAATCTGTTGGAAAAATTGCATTTTAAGTGGCTATTTTGTTGTACAATTATCAGTGGGGTCCACTTCCGATTTGGGTCTTGCCAAATTGGATTCGGGTTCTTCGTAGTGAGACGAAGAGATTGATATATTATACACTCAAAACGGATAATGGGTGAATGATATATTGATTCTCAAATTAGACCCATTGATCGAGTTGGAAAAATGAAGGGAAAAAGATGAGATTTTGTCCCGCATTGATTTAGGAAGTAGATTTGCAACACTATTTATACAAGGGTCTTTTATTGGCTTATTGAATTGTATGGCATAGATGTTCTCTCTCCTGTGAGTATAGATATATATATTATATTATTTTCGTAAATTGACTTGGTTCATTAGTTTTCCAACATGCTTGTCTGATAGAAGAGGGGCATAAATTAAATTTAACCGCAGCTTTTAGTTTCCTCTTGTAGCAAGAAAGGTTGTTTGCAGATTAGGAACATGAGATTTTTAGTTTACAAAGCAAGCAAAATTCCATTCCTTTTTTTTATTTGAAAGGTTTAGTTAATGATAATATTGGATTTCTTTACCCAACAAACTTGTGAAATAGATTACACAAGTATGTCGGTTGGGATAGTATCATCCAATTTCTTGATGCGCTGCTGCCTCTTGGATGGCTTAAATTCGTGCCAATGTCACTACCCTTAGTTGAAAAGGAAATGAAGATAGATACAAGTAAAAGGAGAAGTAGAAATAGGATGGCGGAAAAAGTTGTATCTATCCTGATAGACAAGAAAGACAATCCGATTTTCAGAGATGAGAATCTGAGCCCTGGAACAAGTACAACACCGCTAATGCTAATGGCAGAGATATTATAAGAGAACAAGTGCAACACCTCACTGCTCAATCTGACGATTTTCACTCAGCTTTCTGCAAAAATGCTGTGTGCTTCAGTAGCGATATATACAAGAAAATGGGCAAAAGTTAGCATAAGAGATGATATTTAGAAAGGTATTTTTCAAATAATGATGGATGAACTACTATGGCCTGAGATGCTGATTTAGAAGAGGTCTATTTTCAGAAAAGTTGGTTTATGGGGAATGCTAAACCAGACATTTGGATTTGGACAATAGCTAAGAAGTTCAATAAGATATTTGCAAAAAAATCTTGCTCTGCCAAATGCTGACTACCCACCTAGAACTTACATATTCCAGCCACAAACAGGTTAACAACCTCCAGATTTTGTCTAAGATTAGTATAATTTGCTTTTATTAACCACTCCACATTTTGTCTAAGATTAAAATAGTTTGCATTTATCAACATCCCATTCCTTAAGAAAAAAAAAATCTTCATTTTTTTCACATTGTGTGTGAGTATTTTAATGTAGTAATGTTGATTTGATGCTTTACTTCTGAATTTTAAAACAAATAAATACTTGAATTTTTTATGAATTCTTGGCGTACTAAGATGTGGTGCAAGAAATGTTTAAATTAAAACTCCGCTAGGGATCGGAACTAGAATCTCTGGTTTCGTAGACAAGCGCCTTATCCATTGGGCCATGAAATCCAATGCTTATGCAATTAAATTTAAACATTAATATCTTTAAACGTTTGTAGAACTTATTCATTGCGCCAAGGAGTGCTGTGTTTTTATGATTTAAAATTAAAAAAAAATAAATGAAATTAATATTAGAAACAACATCAGGGCCCTACCGGGTTTGAACCGGTGACCTCTTAATCTGCAATCAAATGCTCTGCCACTGAGTTAAAGACCCTTAAATGCTAAATTGGACATTTTTCCATCTATAACTTCTACAAAAAATTTTGTTAATTGCATTTATGTTGATAATCAGAACTTCAATAAGCAAATGCTTTAATCTGTTGGAAAAATTTCATTTTAAGTGGCTATTTTGTTGTACAATTATCAATGGGTTCCACTTCCGATTTGGGTCTTGTCAAAGTGGATTCGGGTTCTTCATAGTGAGACGAAGAGATCGATATATTGTACACTCAAAACGGATAATGGGTGAATGATATATTGATTCTCAAAGTAGACCCACTGATCGAGTTGGAAAAATGAAGGGAAAAAGATGAGATTTTGTCCCACATTGATTTGGGAAGTAGATTTGCACCACTATTTATACAAGCGTCTTTTATAGACTTATTAAATTGTATAGCATAGATGTTCTCTCTCCTGTGAGTATATATATATATATATATATATATATATCTATATACATATATATTATTCTCGTAAATCGACTTGGTTCATTATTTTCCAACATGCTTGTCTGATAGAAGAGGGGCATAAATTAAAGTTAACCGCAGCTTTTAGTTTCCTCTTGTCACAAGAAAGGTTGTTTGCAGATTCGGAACATGATATTTTTAGTTTACAAAGCAAGCAAAATTCCATTCCTTTTTTTTATTTGAAAGGTTTAGTTAATGATAATATTGGATTTCTTTACTCAACAAAGTTGTGAAATAGATTACACAAGTATGTCGGTTGGGATAGTATCATCCAATTTCTTGATGCGCTGCTGCCTCTTGGATGGCTTAAATTCGTGCCAATGTCACTACCCTTAGTTGAAGAGGAAATGAAGATAGATACAAGTAAAAGGAGAAGTAGAAATAGGATGGCGGAAAAAGTTGTTTCTATCCTGATAGACAAGAAAGACAATCTGATTTTCAGAGATGAGAATCTTAGCCCTGGAACATGTACAACACCGCAAATGCTAATGGCAGAGATATTATAAGAGAACAAATACAACAACTCACTGCTCAATCTGACGAATTTCACTCAGCTTTCTGCAATAATGTTGTGTGCTTCAGTTGCGATATCTACAAGAAAATAGGCAAAAGTTAGCATAAGAGATGATATTTAGAAAGGTATTTTTCAAATAATGATTCGTGAACTACTATGGCCTGAGATGTTGATTTAGAAGAGGTCTATTTTTAGAAAAGTTAGTTTATTGTGCATGCTAAACAAGACATTTGGATTTGGACAATAGCTATGAAGTTCAATAAGATATTTGCAAAAAAGTCTTGCTCTGCCAAATGCTGACTACCCACCCAGAACTTACATATTCCAGCCACAAACAGGTTAACCACTTCTAGATTTTGTCTAAGATTAGTATAATTTGCTTTTATTAACCACTCCAGATTTTGTCTAAGATTAAAATAGTTTGCTTTTATCAACATCCCATTCCTAAAGAAAAAAAATCATCATTTTTGTCACATTGTGTGTGAGTATTTTAATGTAGTAATGTTGATTTGATGCTTTACTTCTGAATTTTAAAATAATTAAATACTTGAATTTTTTATGAATTCTTGGGTTACAAAGGTGTGGTGTAAGAAGTGTTTAAATTACGACTCCATTGGGGATTAAACCCAGAACCTCTAGTTTTATAAACTAGCGCCTTTTCCATTGGGCCACGAAGTCCAATGCTCCTTATCTTTTTACCCGACTTCATATGTATTTAAAAAAAAATAATAATGATACGACGTTGGCTAATAGTCTATTAGCCAACGTCGTATGTATTTAAAAAAAAAATAATAATGATACGACATCGGCTAGTAGCCTATTAGCCGACGTCGTATCATTATTTTAAATAATATATAATTATAAGACGTCGGCTAATAGGATATTAGCCGACGTCGTATGTGTCTATTTTTTTTTTATATATTAAAAATGTTTGATGCTTTCTAGCCCAACGTGCTGTATCAATCAGAACCTGTGCAGCTAGTTACATTCAACATCAACATCAAATAATTCAAGCTACGTACTAAACATGAAACTAATTAAGCTACTAAAAATAATATAATATTAATATAAATAACACAATCTACATAAACTACTATAAACACAATCAACATCAACTAATTCAAGCAACAAAACTACTAATTAACATCAACCCAATAAACACAAAGTAGTTTTAAACATAATGTAGTATGAATTGAGCAACGTTTTATTAACCCATTCATCAATAAGAAACTTCGACCACTTGTTTGTTGTAGGGCAATCTTCCTTGTCTTTCCAAAATCTACAAAGTTCAAAAAAAATAAAAATAATAAATAAGCAAATATTTTAAACAACATTTGAAGAAGAAATATGTATTATTAAATTACTTGCCTTATCCATTCCTTTGCTTAGGTTGTTGGAAACAATTTTCCACATGAATTTCATCACATAATAACCACATTCGGTGCTTCCTTTTTGTATAGGACACTACATTTGAATTACAATAAAATTAGCTAAAAGTAATAAAAAACAATACGTTTGCATGTTTTACAAAGTGAAAGAAGTACTTACCAAACATGTAGTCCATTTCGGTGGACGAGATTGTTTCTTTCCACTCATCATGCTTGTTGCAGCCATACACCTATTCATATAAGACATAAAATATATGTAAATATTTGGCATCACTAGTTTAATAATAACTATTAATTCATTATATAAATATACATACGTTCCCATTATATGTTTGCCCATGACCAAGTGAATCAAACCAAAAAATTTCATTTAATCTAGGAGAAATCGCCATCAGCATCTAATGCTCACTACAAATAAGTAATTTATTAGTTATAAGTAAATAAGTAAATATAATATATAATAAAAATATATTATATATAAGCACTTTAATTTAAAACGTAATTAAAACTTACTTGAGAACGTATGGGGCTAAATATACATTTTTCTTCTCATACTGCATGGTGGCATTTATATATGATTTCCTTTCTTCTGTATTATTCATTTTTGGTTGAATCCAATATGGATCTAGGATGTCATACGTGTCTTTTGATGCCAACTCAAAATTGATGTAAATACCCCTATTCACAAACACAACCAATATAATTATACATAGATTACCAATTATATAAAGAACTGAACTAGAGAAACATCGATGGTGTCCATACTTAAGAAACGCATTATCTCCACACTTTCAAGGTGCAAGTCATAATCAATCTTGCCCATAATACCACGAGCCACATGGATCACAAGATTCTGTTCGAAACGGCGAGCTATTGTAAAAGCCTTTTTGCAATCAGCAGTCAAAGAATATGGAACAACACTACTGTCCATGGTATTGTCTTTTAACTGTGAATTATAATAAAAGTAAGAATTATTATTTTTAAAAGTAAATTACTTATTATTTTAAAATAGAAATATTATCAGTATACATACTGCATTAGCTTCAGTACATAACTCTACCAGCTTCTTTGGCCAAATGATAAAGTGTTCCATTGCATCACTTACAAGCTGAACCTCACTGGTGGGGAATGGTACACGTGCAGTTGGATCACGAACTTGATTTACACTCACTTTCACATTATTTACATCCAGTACAACCCCATGAACTTGTCCACCACTGTATGCTGTCCCATATGCCACTGTACGTCTAATTGGATCTTCTAAGAAGAATTGACATCGTGCCCCTAACTACAATAATTTTTAATTAAAAATCATATAAAATTTTATTGATAAATAATAATAAGATAACTATAAACGAATACTTACAGCCGGTAAATTACTAAAAGGGTCTGGGGAACTAGCTTTGTCACTTGGAGGTGATGGCACAGTATCCACACATACGTCATCCACCTGCTTTGGTTGTAAAGGAGTCTGCATAGCTTTAAATTGCAACATCATACTAGCTATTTTTGCCTCAAATTGCTATGTTAATCGTTGACCAAATTCTTCCCGTTCAGAAATATTTTCCTGCTTTTTGTTTTTCTAACGCTACTGCAACAGCAGCATCAACGATTTGTTGAACATCTTGTGGAGTCTTTTGGCGACGTTTTGCATGGCCAAATACACTTTTGATGCCATGTCCTCTTCCCATGGCTCTAACACGTCCACAATGCTCATCGGTACCCAATGCAACAGTCAATGAATCCTTTCTTCCATCCTCAAAAAATTCTCCTTGAGAAATTTGCAACTCAAGATCATCCTAACATATATAAAAACTATTCAATAATAATTACTATTACTGTAGTATGACAAGATATGTACTTACAATTTTTTCCGCCACCAATCTAGTTGAATCAGTGCGATAATTTCCTGACTTGTACATTCTTGCTTTCTTCCATTTTTCGGCTCTACTTATGGGACTTAGAGGAGTCATTGTATACGACGGATCTGCATCAGCACATGCTTGTTGTTGTTTCAAATTCGCGTCCATCATCATCTTCTCCAACCTTTTATAACCTCCTCGAGCTAAAAGATGTGGATGAATATTCTTAGCCTGTATGTCTTGATATTTTTTCCTTGTTGCCTACATACATACAAAATATTAATCATATGATACATCATTCTGTATCCCTTTTTTAAAATATTGATAGAATAATAATGATACCTCATATGATTCACCTGTATGCGACTGATAAAACTCATTCCATGTCTCTTGTTCAAGGAAGTCGTATGTTTCACAAGGGTTCTGACCTACATAGCAACCGTATATATACTTGTTCGTCAATTTTGTTTTGAAATCTCTCCACCGGTCATTCACATAGCTTAACCAATGTCTCTTCATATCAATGGTGTCGGGAATATCATAAGTACTCTACAAAACAACATTATTTATTAGTAAGAAATGTAATTATATTAACATTTTGAATAAATCTAAATCTAGCTTACCAGGATTTCTTTCCAAATAGTAGCTTTAGTATCTTCTGGGACATCCGATCATTCTTTTATTGTGATAGGAGTATTGATTCGTCCCACTAATCCAACATAACTTTTAAATTCAATGCCAGCTTTCCCATAGACAGACTCGAATCCATCAAGCTCAATTTATAGTTTCCCAAAATTACGTTACTTAATGATTTTTTGCATACGAGTGGCACCCCTCTTCTTAGTAGTACTACTTTGAGTACTCTGAGTACCTTCTGTAGTACCACCACCATCTGTGGAATCCGTACGGCTGTTTAGAAAGAAAAATTATTAGAATATATAGAAATATTAGAATAAGAAAATATAAAAACAGAATAAATACCGAATTAAAGCATTACATATAATAATCAATTCTCCCATATCCCTTCACGATGATCATCTCGTGATGCATGCACTTCATCTATCTCATTATGAATAACGGGGGGCAATAAACTTGACGAAAATGGTGGTATTTCCTCAATATCAAAACTAACATCTTCATTCTCATCTACAACAATTTGTCTCTTTCCATGAAGAACAATGGACCATTTTTTGTCACAAGGATCACTAACATAAAAGACTTGTTTTGCTTGGGATGTCATTATAAACTGCTCATTTTTGTGTCCTTCCCGATTAAAATCTACAAGGGTAAATCCTAACTCATCAACTTTTACACCATGTTTATTATCTACCCATCTACATCGAAACACCGGGACCCTAAATGAAACATAATCAACTTCCCATATTTCTTCAATCACACCATAATATGACAACTCTGCAAACACGGGATTTGGACCTTTCGAACTACTAAAAGGCATTGAATTTGCAACCAAAGTAACTCCACTATTTTGCATAGTGCTCTTTTCATCTTGAGCTTTTGTATAAAATGAAAACCCATTAATGTCATATCCATTATGACATAAGACATCCAAACCAGGACCATGTGCTAACCATGAAACAGTTTCAGAAACATTATTCTCTTTAAGAACTTTATTTTTGAACCAACTGATAAAAGTTCGATTATGTTCACCCACAATCCACATGTCTATCCTTTTTGGATTTTGCTCCCTAATCAACGCCTTGTGTTCATCTAAATACGGTTCGACTTCACTTGTATTATGCAAGATGTACAAGTGTGCCTGGTCATCATCTTCACGAGGCATAACATTCACTTTGACTCCTCGAGTACCCTTCCCAGTAATTCTTCCTTCATGCCGATTCTTAGAAACTCCAATAGACTCAACTCCTGCCAAATATTCAGTACAAAACTCAGTAACCTCCTCAGCAACATAGCTTTCAACAATAGATGCTTCCGGCCTATATCGGTTCCTAACATAACCTTTTAATACTTTCATGTACCGTTCAAATGGGTACATCCACCTCAAATAAGCTGGACCGCAATGTTTGATCTCTCTAACCAAATGCACAAGCAAATGAACCATGATATCAAAAAATGAAGGTGGAAAGTACATCTCTAGCTGACACAGTGTAACAATAATTTCATTTTGCAACTCATCTAATTTGTCTGGATCAATAACTTTTCCACAAATTGCATTGAAAAAGAAACAAAGTCTTATGATGGTGTATCTCAACTTTTTAGGCAATATGTCTCTAACAGCCACTGGCAATAGTTGTTGCATTAAGACATGACAATCATGAGACTTCAAACCCACCAATTTTAAATCTTGCATATTAACAAGTCTACTGATATTTGATGAATACCATTGTGGTACCTTTACTCCACGTAAACACTCACAAAAACTTATTTTCTCCTTTCTTGATAAAGTATGAGCAGCGGGAGGCAAATATGTTTTCTTACCCTCGGAACATGGAGCTAATGTAGGCCGTATACACATTTCAACCAAATCCAATCTAACATTGAGTCCATCTTTAGACTTACCTTTTATGTCTAAAAGAGTTCCAACCAGTCTATCACATACATTTTTCTCCACATGCATCACATCAATACTATGTCTCACATCTAGTGTCTTCCAATATGGAAGATCAAAGAATATAGATTTCTTTTTCCACGGACTCTTCTCATTTGTAGATTTTGACCTCTTACCTCTTTCAGATTTAAGCTTCTGAGTCTTACCGAAAGTAACACTGATGCATTCAACTCGTTCATATACTTGATTCCCAGTCAATGGTTGTGGAGCATCTGTATAGTCTTGCACCCCATTGAATGCCTTTTTTAAATTTCGATAAGGGTGAAATTTATCAAGAAATCTCCGATGCCCCATGTATACCGTCTTTCTACCTAGAACAAGTTGATGATAACATGTATTATCTTCACATATGGGGCATGCCTTATGACCTTTGACACTATATCCAGACAGATTTCCATACGCTGGAAAGTCATTGATTGTGCAAAAAAGCATTGCATGCAACTTAAAAGTCTCCTTCCGGTATGCGTCAAACACTAATACACCTTCATCCCATAATTACTTCAAGTCATCAATTAAAGGCGCCAAATAAACATCTATATCATGACCTGGTTGTTTTGGCCCAGGAATCATCAAACATAATAATATGTATTTTCGTTTCATACACAACCAAGGGGGTAGATTATAAATTATCAACATAACTGGCCACGAGCTATGCTTGCTACTTAGATTCCCGTGGGGGTTAATACCATCAGTACAAAGTCCAAGTCTAAGATTTCTCGACTCGTGACCAAATTTAGGAAATGCATTATCAAATGTTATCCATTGAGAAGAATCAGCCGGGTGTCGAAGCTTGCCATCAGAAATCCTTTGATCTGCATGCCATGTTAAGTTCTTCGCATCACTTGGATTTGCAAACAGACACTTAAATCTTGGATGAATTGGGAGATACCACAAAACTTTAGCTGGTGGCCTTTTCAAACGTACTTTACCAGCAACATTCTCGCTTGTTTTATAACGAGATGCCCCACATATTGGACATGCATGCAAATCTTTGTAATCATTCCTAAGCAATATGCAATCGTTAGGGCAAGCATGTATCTTTGTATATCCCATACCCATTGGACACAAAATCTTTTTGGCATCATACGTACTATTGGGAAGTTCATTACCATCTGGAAGCATGTCCTTTACTATTTCAAGTAACGCAGTAAAGCTCTTGTCACTCCACCCATTCCCAGCTTTCAAGTTGAATAATTTTAATATAGCAGATAATCGGGAATATTTACTACACCCCGGCCATAACGGTTGTTTTGAATCATTCAATAATTCATCTAACTCATTTGACCGATTGGTAAACTCTTCTCCGACATCGCGAAAAATTTCATCCAACCGATCTTCAGACTCATTATCTTCATTGTCAACATACACATTAGATGTCGTAGACACATCGCGTTCACAGTGCCAAATCCATTGTGTATAATATGGATTAATCCCATTAACGATTAGATCATCATATATATGTCCTCTTCACCTAACTTTTTCTGATTACAACATTTCTTACAAGGACACAACCACCTGTTATTACTATTCGGAAGGTTACTCTTTGCAAAGTCTAAAAATTTTCTAACTCCATCTTCGTATTCCGTACTAAGTCGATTAGCTATCATCCAACTTTTATCCATCACGTACAAGTCAATCTAGATATTAATAACTCTAATTAAACATTTGTTAACACTATTTTAACAATTTTCTATAATAACAACTACTACAACAACTACAATAATTTTAGCATTTACATAATGCAAACAAGTAGCATTTCATGGACGCAAACAAGTAGCATTTATCCATCACGTACAAGGCAATCTAGGTATAATAATAATAACAATTCGTCAATTCTAGATGCTTTCTTATACATCCTAACTAACCAAAGAACATGTCAAACACAATGTGAATTGAATCTTGCTCAACACAATAGACAAATTGCGTACCCGAGACCGGCGAAGAACAGTGGAGGAGGATTGCAGCAAGGACTAAACTTTGTCAAACCCGATTGATGCCAAACAAAAAATAAACCAATCAAATATTTTCAAAGTAGAAAAGTTTCTTTTTTTTTTTTTTTAAGTAAGCAAAGCAGAAAAGTTTAATTTAAAGTTTAAGTGAGAATAGGTCAAACACACCAACATTCATACAGAGTATTTTGTGACTTTAAATATTTTTCAGAGTTGATTTAGGATCGAGCCAATACCTTATCACCCTATGACAATAGTTAGTAATATTAATCTCAACATTTATTTTTTTAAAAAAAAAAGACTTGATAATTTAAATGTAATATTCTCCTAACAATTATACATATAATCTATGGTAAATTGCTACTAGTTGCATATTAAATTGGATGTAGCATCGTCTGACCTACACACTAGTAATAGGGTGCTAACTTTATAGCCAATTTAATCTCGGTTTTCAACAAATGATTCTTTACCTAAATAAAGATGCAAATGTAAGAAATTTCCAAAATAAATTTAGAAATTTTATAATTAATGGTTGTCATAATTTTATAATTTCCAAAATAAATTTAGATTATATTTAATTAAACCATTGTCCTCATAATAAGCCCTACTAGAGTGCTATATATCTAGATTCTAACAAGCTTGCACTGGATCAAACACCCTAAAGTAAACTCAACTCCTTCTGCATTATACTATTAGTGATTAGTGATGTGTATATTAATATTATAGCATAAGTAGCATTATTCTTAAAATTTCGAAATATACACAATAATATATAAACAATATTTCATAAAATTCCACATATACACACACAACAATTCATAATTTACCCAATAACTTATAAAATCAAAAATATATACACAATTATTCCTAAAATTTTGAAATATACACAATAATAATTTATAAAATTCAAAATTCAAAAAATATAAAAGATTAATTAGATATATATATATAAAAAACTATTTTTAGTGTATATATATATACATACACATATATATATATATATATATATATACATATATATACCTGCCGTATATGCGTCAGATCGACGCCGTGCGGCGTCCGGCGGCGAGGCAGCGCGGGCGAGGCAACGACCGGCGAGCGGCAAGCGGCGAGGCAGCGAACGGCAAGGCGGCGAGCGGCGAGCGACGACCGTCAAGCGTCGAGGCAGCGAAGAGAGATCTGATCTGTCTACGGTGGCGGGGGTGGAGCTGAATATACGGTGGGGTGGTGGAGATAAGTAAACGGTGGCAGTGGTGGAGGGTTTTGGTGGCGGTGAGGCGTTGATCTGATCTGATCTGTCTTTGTATACACATATATATATATTTTTTAATTCGAGTATATGGCGTCGGCTTTATACTCGCTTTAATTTGAGTATATCCCATCGGCATTATAAATAGATGACGCCTTATACTATATTTTTTATTTATTTATTTATATTATAGATACGGCGCCGGCGGTACGAAAAAGCCGACGTCAAATATATTTTTTAAAAATTAAAAATTAAATTTAAATATTTAACGTCGGTTTTTCGACAAACCGACGTTATAATGGCGATGTTAAATCATTTTTCGTAAATCGACTTGGTTCATTATTTTCCAACATGCTTGTCTAATAGAAGAGGGGCATAAATTAAAGTTAACCGCATCTTTTAGTTTCCTCTTGTCACAAGAAACGTTGTTTACAGATTAGGAACATGAGATTTAGTTAATGATAATATAGGATTTCTTTACTCAACAAAGTTGTGAAATAGATTACACGGTTGGGATAGTACCATCCAATTTCTTGATGCGCTGCTGCCTCATGGATGAGTTAAATTCGTGCCAATGTCACTACCCTTAGTTGAAAAGGAAATGAAGATAGATACAAGTAAAAGGAGAAGTAGAAATAGGATTGCGGAAAAAGTTGTATCTATCCTGATAGACAAGAAAGACAATCCGTTTTTCAGAGATGAGAATCTGAGCCCTGGAACAAGTACAACACCGCTAATGCTAATGGCAGAGATATTATTAGAGAACAAGTACAACACCTCACAGCTCAATCTGACGAATTTCACTCAGCTTTCTGCCACAATGCTGTGTGCTTCAGTAGCGATATCTACAAGAAAATGGGCAAAAGTTAGCATAAGAGATGATATTTAGAAAGGTATTTTTCAAATAATGATGGGTGAACTACTATGGCCTGAGATAATGATTTAGAAGAGGTCTATTTCCAGAAAAGCTGGTTTATGGTGCGTGCTAAACCAGACATTTGGATTTCGACAAATGTTAAGAAGTTCAATAAGATATTTGCAAAAAAGTCTTGCTCTGCCAAATGCTGACTACCCACCCAGAACTTACATCTTCCAGCCACAAACAAGTTAACCACTCCAGATTTTGTCTAAGATTAGTGTAATTTGCTTAAATTAGAACTCCGCTGGGGATCGAACCCAGAATCTCTAGTTTCATAGACCAACACCTTATCCATTGGGCCACGAAGTCCAATGTTTTTGTAATTAAATTTAAACATTAATATCTTTAAAAGTTTGTAGAAATTATTCATTGGGCCAAGGAGTGCTGTGTTTTTATGATTTAAAATTAAAAAATGAATAAATAAAATTAATATTACGAACAACACAAGGGCCCTACCAGCTTTGAACCAATGACCTCTTGATCTGCAATCTAATGCTCTACCATTGAGCTAAAGACCCTTAATTGCTATCTTGGACATTTTTCCATCTATGAATTCTACAAAAATTTAGTTAATTGCTTTTATGTTGATAATCAGAACTTCAATAAGCAAATGCTTTAATCTGTTGGAAAAATTGCATTTCAAGTGGCTATTTTGTGGGACAATTATCAGTGGGGTCCACTTCCGATTTGGGTCTTGTCAAAGTGGATTCGGGTTCTTCGTAGTGAGACGAAGAGATTGATATATTGTACACTCAAAACGGATAATGGGTGAATGATATATTGATTCTCAAAGTAGACCCATTGATCGGGTTGGAAAAATGAAGGGAAAAAGATGAGATTTTGTCCCACATTGATTTGGGAAGTAGATTTGCACCACTATTTATACAAGGGTCATTTATAAACTTATTGTATTGTAAAGCATAGATGTTCTCTCTCCTGTGAGTATATATATATTATTTTCGTAAATGGACTTGGTTCATTGTTTTCCAACATGCTTGTCTAATAGAAGAGGGGCGGCAGCTTTTAGTTTCCTCTTGTCACAAGAAAACGTTGTTTGCAGATTAGGAACATGAGATTTTTAGTTTACAAAGCAAGCAAAATTCCATTCCTTTTTTTTATTTGAAAGGTTTAGTTAATGATAATATTGGATATCTTTACTCAACAAAGTTGTGAAATAGATTACACAAGTATGTCGGTTGGGATAGTACCATCCAATTTCTTGATGCGCTGCTGCCTCTTGGATGGGTTAAATTCGTGCCAATGTCACTACCCTTAGTTGAAAAGGAAATGAAGATAGATACAAGTAAACGGAGATGTAGAAATAGGATGGCGGAAAAGGTTGTATCTATCCTGATAGACAAGAAAGACAATCCGATTTTCAGAGATGAGAATCTGAGCCCTGGAACAAGTATAAAACCGCTAATGCTAATGGCAGAGATATTATAAGAGAACAAGTACAACACCTCACAGCTCAATCTGACGAATTTCACTCAGCTTTCTGCCACAATGCGGTGTGCTTCAGTAGCGATATCCACAAGAAAATGGGCAAAAGTTAGCATAAGAGATGATATTTAAAAAAAAAATTCAAATAATGATGGGTGAACTACTATGGCCTGAGATGATGATTTAGAAGAGGTCTATTTCCAGAAAAGCTGGTTTATGGTGCGTGCTAAAACAGACATTTGGATTTCGACAAATGTTAAGAAGTTCAATAAGATATTTGCAAAAAAGTCTTGCTCTGCCAAATGCTGACTACCCACCCAGGACTTACATCTTCCAGCCACAAACAAGTTAACCACTCCAGATTTTGTCTCAGATTAGTGTAATTTTCTTAAATTACAACTCTGCTAGGGATCGAACCCAGAATCTCTAGTTTCGTAGACCAATACCTTATCCATTGGTCCACGAAGTCCAATGTTTTTGTAATTAAATTTAAACATTAATATCTTTAAAAGTTTGTAGAAATTATTCATTGGGCCAAGGAGTGCTGTGTTTTTATGATTTAAAATTAAAAAATGAATAAATAAAATTAATATTACGAACAACACAAGGGCCCTAGCAGCTTTGAACCAATGACCTCTTGATCTGCAATCTAATGCTCTACCATTGAGCTAAAGACCCTTAATTGCTAACTTGGACATTTTTCCAACTATGACTTCTAAAAAAATTTAGTTAATTGCTTTTATGTTGATAATCAGAACTTCAATAAGCAAATGCTTTAATCTGTTGGAAAAATTGCATTTTAAGTGGCTATTTTGTGGGACAATTATCAGTGGGGTCCACTTCCGATTTGGGTCTTGTCAAAGTGGATTCGGGTTCTTTCTAGTGAGACGAAGAGATTGATATATTGTACACTCAAAACGGATAATGGGTGAATGATATATTGATTCTCAAAATAGACCCATTGATCGAGTTGGAAAAATGAAGGGAAAAAGATGAGATTTTGTCCCACATTGATTTGGGAAGTAGATTTGCACCACTATTTATACAAGGGTCATTTATAAGCTTATTTTATTGTAAAGCATAGATGTTCTCTCTCCTGTGAGTATATATATATTATTTTCGTAAATGGACTTGGTTCATTATTTTCCAACATGCTTGTCTAATAGAAGAGGGGCGGCAGCTTTTAGTTTCCGCTTGTCACAAGAAAACGTTGTTTGCAGATTAGGAACATGAGATTTTTAGTTTACAAAGCAAGCAAAATTCCATTCCTTTTTTTTTATTTGAAAGGTTTAGTTAATGATAATATTGGATATCTTTACTCAACAAAGTTGTGAAATAGATTACACAAGTATGTCGGTTGGGATAGTACCATCCAATTTCTTGATGCGCTGCAGCCTCTTGGATGGGTTAAATTCGTACCAATGTCACTACCCTTAGTTGAAAAGGAAATGAAGATAGATACAAGTAAACGGAGATGTAGAAATAGGATGGCGGAAAAGGTTGTATCTATCCTGATAGACAAGAAAGACAATCCGATTTTCAGAGATGAGAATCTGAGCCCTGGAACAAGTACAAAACCGCTAATGCTAATGGCAGAGATATTATAAGAGAACAAGTACAACACCTCACAGCTCAATCTGACGAATTTCACTCAGCTTTCTGCCACAATGCGGTGTGCTTCAGTAGCGATATCCACAAGAAAATGGGCAAAAGTTAGCATAAGAGATGATATTTAAAAAAAAAAAATTCAAATAATGATGGGTGAACTACTATGGCCTGAGATGATGATTTAGAAGAGGTCGATTTCCAGAAAAGCTGGTTTATGGTGCGTGCTAAACCAGACATTTGGATTTCGACAAATGTTAAGAAGTTCAATAACATATTTGCAAAAAAGTCTTGCTCTGCCAAATGCTGACTACCCACCCAGAACTTACATCTTCCAGCCAAAAACAAGTTAACCACTCCAGATTTTGTCTCAGATTAGTGTAATTTTCTTTAATTACAACTCCGCTGTGGATCGAACCCAAAATCTCTAGTTTCGTAGACCAACACCTTATCCATTGGTCCACGAAGTCCAATGTTTTTGTAATTAAATTTAAACATTAATATCTTTAAAAGTTTGTAGAAATTATTCATTGGGCCAAGGAGTGCTGTGTTTTTATGATTTAAAATTAAAAAATGAATAAATAAAATTAATATTACGAACAACACAAGGGCCCTACCAACTTTGAACCAATGACCTCTTGATCTGTAATCTAATGCTCTACCATTAAGCTAAAGACCCTTAATTGCTATCTTGGACATTTTTCCAACTATGACTTCTACAAAAATTTAGTTAATTGCTTTTATGTTGATAATCAGAACTTTAATAAGCAAATGCTTTAATCTGTTGGAAAAATTGCATTTTAAGTGGCTATTTTGTGGGACAATTATTAGTGGGGTCCACTTTCGATTTGGGTCTTGTCAAAGTGGATTCGGGTTCTTCGTTGTGAGACGAAGAGATTGATATATTGTACACTCAAAACGGATAATGGGTGAATGATATATTGATTCTCAAAGTAGACCCATTGATCGAGTTGGAAAAATGAAGGGAAAAAGATGAGATTTTGTCCCACATTGATTTGGGAAGTAGATTTGCACCACTATTTATACAAGGGTCATTTATAAACTTATTGTATTGTAAAGCATAGATGTTCTCTCTCCTGTGAGTATATATATATTATTTTCGTAAATGGACTTGGTTCATTATTTTCCAACATGCTTGTCTAATAGAAGAGGGGCGGCAGCTTTTAGTTTCCTCTTGTCACAAGAAAAGGTTGTTTGCAGATTAGGAACATGAGATTTTTAGTTTACAAAGCAAGCAAAATTCCATTCCTTTTTTTTATTTGAAAGGTTTAGTTAATGATAATATTGGATATCTTTACTCAACAAAGTTGTGAAATAGATTACACAAGTATGTCGGTTGGGATAGTACCATCCAATTTTTTGATGCGCTGCTGCCTCTTGGATGGGTTAAATTCGTGCCAATGTCACTACCCTTAGTTGAAAAGGAAATGAAGATAGATACAAGTAAACGGAGATGTAGAAATAGGATGGCGGAAAAGGTTGTATCTATCCTGATAGACAAGAAAGACAATCCGATTTTCAGAGATGAGAATCTGAGCCCTGGAACAAGTACAAAACCGCTAATGCTAATGGCAGAGCTATTATAAGAGAACAAGTACAACACCTCACAGCTCAATCTGACGAATTTCACTCAGCTTTCTGCCACAATGCGGTGTGCTTCAGTAGCGATATCCACAAGAAAATGGGCAAAAGTTAGCATAAGAGATGATATTTAAAAAAAAAAATTCAAATAATGATGGGTGAACTACTATGGCCTGAGATGATGATTTAGAAGAGGTCTATTTCCAGAAAAGCTGGTTTATGGTGCGTGCTAAACCAGACATTTGGATTTCGACAAATGTTAAGAAGTTCAATAAGATATTTGCAAAAAAGTCTTGCTCTGCCAAATGCTGACTACCCACCCAGAACTTACATCTTCCAGCCACAAACAGGTTAACCACTCCAGATTTTGGCGACAAATGTTAAGAAGTTCAATAAGATATTTGCAAAAAAGTCTTGCTCTGCCAAATGCTGACTACCCACCCAGAACTTAGATCTTCTAGCCACAAACAGGTTAACCACTCCAGATTTTGTCTAAGATTAGTGTAATTTGCTTAAATAAAAGGTTAACCACTCCAGATTTTGTCTATGATTAGTGTAATTTGCTTAAATTACAACTCCGC